TACTGTAGCTTGATACACACCTCCCTTCAGATTCAGGGATAAACGATTCTGACGCCATAGGTGTCTCAAGTTAGCACACGCGGCCCATCTAATTTGACCGGAAAAGGATTAGCACACAAAAACATCACACTCAGTTCAGGAATACAACCTTTAATCTGTCTGTTATCACTTGATAATGAACTCATACAATTCCTTCATGTTCGAATTTGTCTGAGTATTATTACAGCATTCTGGTAGGAATGCGGCAACAATAAATAAGGACGAGCTAACTTCGAGATCGGTGTTTTCGGCCAAAATTGTAGACCATGCGTATATGGCAAGAGCTAAGTAGAAATTCCGTAAAATGACCAGTGGCTTATGTGTACACGCACAATATTTCCAGAAGAAAACTATTATGGATTTTGATTTCGTTTTCTGAAATTTAAAATGTGTTTGATTACATTTGAGCACTATACAAAATGTTTTATATGAATGCAAAAATGCAAGGAATACAAAAGAAATGTTGTACTAGCAGTATCGCAGCCGGTTTCATTTAAATAATTGGCTTTTTACCCAGCATCTGGACTACCATTTTGGGGATGTCACTTCACCTATCTTTTAGAGCCAAACAACGAACGACATTATAAACTGCCCATGGTCATTCGGTTTGTTTTATTTATTTGGTAAATGCCATGGGATTAAATGGCGCTTAAGCAAGCATCTTTTTGCAGGACAGCATTTTTGTGACCCAATGTTTTTTTCGCAAGGCAAATCATTGTGTGAACAACACATTTTACGGCTGCACTGGATTTTTAATACAGAAGTACTCTTTTGTTTTACATTTATTTGCAATTTTGTATTTTGCTAGATTTGAAATGCCCAAATCCTCATCCTGGCAGGTAAACGCAAAAATTTCCATGGTGCTTCACTAGGACAGCACTCTGCGAACCAGGGAGTTCTGCAGCAACCTTTTGGGTGAAACCATTATCCACCCGTTCCTAATGAAAATATCCTAGAAGCAAATGTTATGATGTTTTTCACTGATTCGTCATCCCGCCAAAGAAGCGGCGAAATAGGCTGCACCCTTTCAAACGACCATCTGCTCAGTGCTATCGATAGTGCTTTCTGTCGCAGAAGGAAACGCTCGTAAACTCCCTTGCAACCAAGACTCATGCACAGCTACAACTTTCCTCATCCAAAGTAATTTTTTGCTAACCTCTGGTTTATATAACACTCATAGCCCTGTCGACATTTCAAATTCAATGGGTACATTGATTCTTACATAACCCGAAGATATCCACCAAAACGCATTTGGTCAGCCTTTAGGATAGCTAGTGCATCATCTCTAAGTGCTTCCCATAGTCACTTTTATGTCGAACAAACGGCGTTTTTTTATATAAAGGTGTAGGTTTTATGCATGTTGCGTCGTCTAAGGGTAGAATATGAAGTCGGGGCCCGGCAGCGCTAGGCAAGACTGTAGCCAGAAATAGGTTCTGTTGAGCACATTTCTACACTACGTTGTGTTAGAACAGTGGCATCGTCTCCAATCGTAATTTCAGGAATGTATTCGACTCTGTCAGCCGGTATGGTCTTTTCAACATAACCCCATAACAATACGGCGTTGTGTTTATTCTAAATGAGAACCTAGTCAACCTGAATTATGCAAACGGACATTGTCTCGTTTTAGAAAAAAAGGTAGAAAGCGCGGGTGTCGCTAGGAGAACTGACTAGGATCATTCGGCATTTCGGCATGTGCTTTTGACCCCAAAAGTGCGAAGTCATTCCGCAAAAGTTCAGTCTTTCTGACTCAAAAAACTCAAAGGTTGAAAATGGAAGAGGGGGAGCACTGCATTTTTTCCAGCGTTGCGCCATCCTTGAAAGTTTTGTGACACACACATCAATCGATTGCGGGGTCAGTTTGCGTTACTTGTGATAAAAAAAACATATTTTGCATCATAGGACACATTTATCATATTACATTGCCAGCCACGAGAATTGGTCGGAAGATTTGGGACAATCGATGTCTCTTAACCGTAACTGGATTTGGGTGAAATCAGCAAACTCGCACTGAGATTATTACGAATGGGTTGTTTGATGAAGCATACGATATTTCTTTCAAAAATGAATCCATCAATGCAAATGCCGGTTGAGTTACTGTCTTCCGAGATAAGCGTTGCTTTCCGAACCTGACTGAGGGTGGTGAGAATATCATTTGACATAAGGGAAAAGAATTTTGCGAAAATTCTGTAGGGCAGTTAGACATTACTATTCTTCTCTAGCATAATTGTCAGCGAAGGGAACTTCGGACGTTATTCCATTTAGGTTTCATTTAAACCACTATTGTAATGTACCCACCTACTGTGAGTAAAATAATGTATATTTCCTCTTCTATCTTACGATTGTATAGTCGAGCCCAGAATCGTTGGGAAAAGGCGAGCCTTGGGGGGCAGATTTAGTCTATCTTGGTGCACCTTTGTAAATAACCGCATCCAACTGATTGCAGTTTTTACCTGTCCGCGGTGGCCTGAGCAGCCGGTAGCAGTGTTTTGATATAAATGAATCAGTTTACAACTTAAATGGTGAGTTCTCACACCTTTCCGAAACAACACACTGCATATTCCCACTATCAAACTGAACATATTCAATCATGCGACAAAGCGAACGATGACTGACGTCAGTCAAACAAAGCCTCGTAATGGAAAATACTATCCCCTTTGGGCGATATTTACAGTTTTGCAAGATCCAGATTCCTATCCTTTTGTGTCAACCAGGGTGGTCTCCATTAGGTTTTTGAGCTGATCAACGCATAAGCCATTAGGAAATGCTCCCAAATATGCAATTTTGCCATCCATTGCCTTTTATTTAGATAGTTTTCTGTATTCGGTGTTGCATTTAATGTCAAAATTCAATAATAGCCTCCGTTGCACAGTTACCTTTCACGCAACAATAGTTTGTCCAAAATCACGCCGTCAGTGGAAAACCTGGATTAG